TGGTGCCCACATGAACCACAATGACTGGATCCTCCCCTCACCTCTACAAGTTTCTTGCTGGACCTAAGCAGTTGTCCTGAGCCCTGGCACCAAGTAGGCAACACCATCGAGTGGACTCATGCCGTTTGCTGCCCCCTTGGTTTAAACATGAACAATACAGTGAGGTGAGAGAAACTACCCTTGACACCAAGGCAGCATTTGGTCTTGAGTCACATCAAAAACCTGACAGAATTTAAGTCAATGGGAAACTGTTTGGAATTTTACCCAGAACAAATTAAGATAATTGTGGTTGTTAAAGGTGTCATCTCAGTCCCAGGCATCATTATGGAGTTACTCAGGATAGTATCCTAGCCCTAACCACATTCAGCTGCCTCACTATTGACCTTCCCTCCGTCATAAGGTGAGAAGTGGGAATGTTCACCGGTGATTGCATGGTGATCATCGAATCATAGAATCCCTACAGTGTGGAAACAGTCCATTTGCCCCATCGATTCCACACCAACCCTCCAAACAGCACACCACCCAATAACCCACCTTCCCCCACTCCAAACCCCCCCCCCCCCCAACCCTACCCCCCCCCCCACCAAAACCATATCCCTATTTACCTTCATTCCCTATGGCCAATCCACCAAACCTGCACAATTTTGGATTATGGGAGGAAACCAAAGTATGCAGAGTAAACCCACACAGACACAGGGAGAACGTGCAAACTCCACATAGACAGTCACCTGGAATTGAACCTGGGTCCCTAATGCTGTGAGGCCACTGTGCTGCGCCAAATCACTAGTACTCCTCAGATTCTGAAGCAGTCCGTGTGTGTTCATACAATAAGACTTCAGCAACATTTTTTTTGAGCTCATAAGGGGCAAGTCATATTCATGCCACACACATGCCAAGCAAAGATCATCTCCAGCACAAGAACATTTAGCCGTCTCTGCGTTGTATAAAATGGTATTACCATTGCTGAATCAGCATTCTGAGCATTTCCATTGATCAGAAACAGAACTGGACCAGCCATATACATACTGTGGCTACAAGAGCAAATCAGAAGTTGGAAATCTTGGGCAAGTAAAACATCTCATGACTCTCTAAAGCCTTAACCATCATCTACAAAGGCACAAGTCAGGAGTATGATTGAATTCTCTCCAGATGCCTGAATGAGTGCAGATCCAACAACATTCAATAAGATTGACATCATCCAGGAAAAGCAACCCAATTTCATCAGCACTTGAAATACCTTAAACATTCACCACCTTCACCATTATCATATAGTGGTACCTGTACGTCACATATACAAGACGCATTGCAGCAACTCATCCAGGCTCCCTTGACAGCATCTCCCAAACCTGACTGCTTTAGCATCTAAAGGGACAAGGGCAGCAGATTCATGGAAACACTACCACTGACAAGTTTGCCTCCAAGCCATTCACTATGCTGATACGAAATTATCAGCAAAATTTTCCCAGCATCTGAACATGAACAATAGTAAGAAATATGGTATTGAAAAAAATTAGATTCTCAACGTCAAGGAAAGAAGTCAGAGTTTCACTTTTAAGATTTCAACAGCTGGGCAGGAACCCTGTTGGAAAGCAGTGAAGACCCAATTTCACTGCATTTATGTCTCAGTCTTAGCTAATCTTGCCTCATTTATATGCAGTTTGCAATTCTCACAGGTAGTGATGAGAAAATATTTGGCACCAATTCCTGAGTTCAAAGTCTGAATGGTTGCCTAGTGGATGCAGCTTCTTTGTGGTTTCTCAGGGCCTTATCCACTGAAGACAGTGTCAGCAAAACACCAGCCTCACCACATCGTCATGGCCAATGTTGGAGTAATTCAATAACACATTTAGTATCACTGCCTTTTGGAATAAACTGACACCCCAAATCACAATGCTCCTGCTTGGTCCCTCTGCTCGAAGGAACATACACCCATCTTATGCGTCTGCACATGATGCACCTTCAGGCTCTTGGCTTGCTTTTGCAGCACTCATTCACTTTGCTCACAGCATCTCTGCCTTTCCTTACCTTTCAGCGCTAGCAGAAAGCCAGGCAGCTTGCCGAGGCTGCCAGCAATGAACAGTCAATGAACTGGACATGTTGCTGTATCAATGTCACACCTATAGCAGGTGCCAGCAGCTTCCATGGCAAACAAACTGCATGTGCTTCAACCAAATGGCCGTATCTATATGCCGAAGGTGAGAAGTCCTTGAGTCAATGGGGACTTTGGCCAGTTAGGGGGTGCCGTCATGCTCAGTGAAGAGCACCATCTAATCTCAGTCCAGAGGGTTGGACACAGTCTGTTCTGCAGGTTAAGTCCAACCAGTCTAGGGATTACAGGTAGGTCATTAAAGGTGCTTTGGAGACATTAGTCCAGGGGTGTGGAGCCAGTTCTTCCTGCAATAGGACAAAGGGGAGGATTGAGTATGATGAAAATGGATGGGAAAGCTGTTAGTGGTGATGCAGGAGAGATGGTGAAGTGTCCACAATGGAGGAGTAGCAAGTGCAGATGGCAGAAAGGCATAATAATTTGAGATGGATGGAACGGGTGAGAGCCATTGAAGGAAGATGCTGTATGCAATAGTGTGACAGGTAGGCAATTAGCCTTGGGGAGAAATGTGTACAATAACACAGTTAGTTGAATATGATATAGCAGAGAGAAGGTGATGGTACTTAGTCATGTAGAGTGCAGAATGTCACTGGCTTTCTTATGGCTCTGATGCACGTTTCTTCTGACTTGGGTGGCTATCTCCAACAGGCTCAAAGCATTTTGTGTCCACTGACAATACTGAGGAAAGTCGATGACTCCCCTCTCCACCACCTCATCCACCAGGACTCCAAGACCCCTGAACACAAACCATGACGGCAAACGTCCTTTGTCAGCCAACCTCTTTAGAATTGCAGTCTACCAAGATACTTGGAATGTTTGTTTCTGGCTTGCAGCATTTGAAATGGTTTTAAATATGGCACCCGTGGTGTGGATGCCAGAAAGTCCCAGTGTCTGTGAGTACTTGCCTGTCTACCAATGAATAATTGCACTAGAAGTGCATTGTAAATGCCAGACAAAGTGTTAATAAAGCAAACAGGAGAGGGAACACATGATTACACGAGAAGGAACACATACCCATCGCATGCATCTGCACATGATGCACCTTAGGGCTCTTGGCTTGCTTTCCAAGGCTCATAGAAATCCTCCATGAAGCTCCCATAATTGACTATTAGTAAATATTTTTGAATTTCAGACCTGTATCACTATTCCTTCTTTGTCACTGGGTCAGATAATTCTCAACTCTACTTTCCCACCTTATTCCCATAACGCTTGGTTACCCTCACTGAAAAACAGAATTTGTCCATCTCAGGCTTAAATATATTGAATGAACTAGCCTCGACAGCCCTCTGAGGCAAAGAATTCCATAGATTCACTACCTCAGAGAAAATTCAACCTCATCTGTGTCTTAAAATGGTGATCCCCTACTCTGAGATTGTGGTGTCTGGTTTCTAGACTCTCCCACAAGGGGAAACACATTTCTGCATTTACCCTGACTTGGAAGTATACCACCAATTTTCATTGTCACTGGTTCAAAATCCTGAAATTCCCTCTCTTAATGGCATTGTGGGTGTACTTACATCACATGGACTGCAACAGTTCAAGAAGGCAGATTACTACCACCTATTCAAGGGCAACCAGGGATGGGCAATTAACATTGGCCCATTCATTGATGCACATATCCCACAATTACACTTTTTAAAAATGCAATTGAGATAGATTTTACATGAGACTTCTCTAAATTCTCCAACTAACAGGATATCCGGACCCACAGCAACAAAAATGTTTCAGCTGAATGATTTTCACCTGTTTAATTGGCTTTGATACGGTCATTTCTGTAATTCAGATTGGCTTCTGAACTTGCAAGGCTGGGTATCTCACTGAGAAATCTCGATCACAAGCAGTTTCATTCATTCTTTCCAAATAAACCAGTTAACATGAACTAATGCTGGAGAATTTTTAACATTATATTAATCTTTAATTTTTGTTTTGAATGAACATTGAACGAACTCATTTGCTGTTTGCTAATTTACAGTAAATGAGTTTTATCAAATTTTCTGGCTGGTTTCAATAGCAAACACAGTCTTGCATAATAAAATTAAATATTCTGTTTGTGCACTAAACAATCAAAAGAACTGCCAGGTCTTGGCAATATACCAAGGAGCATTTTATTGGGAAAATTCTGGGGCTCAAAGACTCTCTCCAGTGCTTTTGTACTGTTTAGAAGAAAAAGGCCAATAGGTGACTAAAGCTGCAAATAGCCCCTGCCTCCAGAGACTGGTGATTTACACCATAAAACAGCAATTGCTCCTTGGAGCATCTTCCATCCACATTAGAGAGGGATTAGGCAGATACATTCAGTTCTGCCAGCAGATTTCTCTTTTCTAAGCCCTCAATAGCCCTCTCACAGTCACTAAGATAATCACATTAGTTTTGTCATTAAAGGAGCTTCTCTTTTAGCCACTGTTTAAACTGCTAAAACCACCCATAGAGGTGACATATATTAAAAAAAGACAAATATCTGAATCTTATGAACTATGACTTTCACTGCTGCTGTCATAAATTGAAACTTTGCAAAGTGCAACTACTTCGATAAAATATTTTCACTGCTGATACTATTAACATTTGTCACACAACATGATCAAATTATATATTCTTAAATGACTATAAACAGCTTCTTGGCTTTTTGTGCTTGTGCAGATTTGTATTTGTTTCAGTTAATTCCGGGTTTTGAACAGTTTGAAGGGAAAACAGTAAGCCAGTCAAGCAAAGATTTCATGAGAGAGTCTTCGCTGACTTCATGAGTGAGCTTTGACATAAAGTTACGAATATTTTACTTCAATCTTTAACAAAGTAATTCAGTGTAATTTTTTTTCACAAAGATGTGTTTATTGTATATGCACACCATATCTTCAAGGCATACCATAAAGTAAGATACTGTATGCATTTAATAACGAAGCAGTGATTGTGCAATGATTTATTGATTACCAAGGAGTTATTTTTCTTCACATTTAACCAGAGTCATTCAACTATTTAGAGGTTCAAGAACTAATGTCACTCAGGTTTTTCAGAAAAGCAGAGGGTCTTGTGGTGCAGAAGTAGTGCCTTACATCTCAGCCAGAAGATTTGAGTTCAAGTCTCATCTGACCCAAAGGAATATCAAAACATGCTTAAACGGATTGATTAAAAATAATTCAAGCTGTAGCAATTTTAACTTATGGATTTCTTATAACTGTAAAATATGTTCAAAAATACAATGTCATCCATCACAATTATATTTTAACTGAAAACAATTACAAGCTGTGCAGTTAATTGTATTTTGTTTCAGAACTAATTCCTCAATCAAAAACGAATTGATTTCTGACCAAGTCAAAATTGGTTTTGAGGATTCACACCTGAATTAAAAGGATATTTTATTTTCAGTTATGTAAACAAATAATAGGCTCCAACTTAATTTCAAATATCTGTGTAGAATATTGTTTGAAAAGTTAATAGGCTGCAGAAGAATCGGTCCAACTTTTCTTATATTTTCAATATAATGTTTGTTGCAATATCTGAAAGAAGAAATGGAAAAAAGGATTGTAAAATTGGAATCATTTTTCTCTACTTCTTTAGATGATATAAGTGGCCTTAAGGCTCCAAAGTGGCAAAAAAAACCCCAAAGAACTGCAGATTCTGGAGATTAGAAGCAAAAACAGAAATTGCTGGAAAAGCTCAGTTCTGGCAGTATCTGTGGAGAAAAAGATGAGTTAACGCTTTGGGTCCAGTGACCCTTACACAGAACTGATCGTAGCCAGGAAGAGGTTGGTATATATGCTGAAGATCAGATGAGGGGGAGGGGGAGGAGTAAATTCCAAAATGACAGTTGCGGTGGCATGTGGACTTTTGAGGTTGTTGGTGAGGGTACTCACACTTACACCATGAATAGTCACTGGAAGTATCCAGAACATGTAGACCACAATGTCAATCAATTTTTGATATCAACAGAGCCAATTTGGGGCTCTTGCGATGCAGTGGTAGTGTCCCTACCTCTGAGTCAGGATGCCCAGGCTCAAAGTCCCACCTGCTCCAGACATGTGCAATAATCTCTGAGTGGGTTGATTAGAAAATATCAATACTACCAATTTGGAACTCAAAACTGCAGCAAATACACTCTTTCAACTTTGCACAACAGAAATTGTGTTAGCAGAAATAAGGACAACTCCCACAAACACTGTTTAAGGGGATCAGCTTACAGGTTAATTGCTGATTGATTTCATCTGGATATAGCTATGAGTGTACAAGTATTTGTATTCTGTGTAGTTGTTTAAAGTTGTAAAAGTTAACAAGGAGTGGTGAGGGAGATGCTAAAGGGATTTTTAGTTACTTCAAAGCTTCTGCACAAACCAATTGCTGCCAGACATTGGCACAGTGGTAGGCATTTCCCGTAGAGCACAGCATTACTTGGAGGATCCACACAGTTCACCCAGTGCAGGACAAGTTACTGGAAAAAGGAGAAAGGGGGCAGGGAGAAGATCACTCAACAGGAAGCAAGATCTGCTCAAGGTATTCAGGAGGCAACCCTCCAATCTTAACCTCAGCAAGGAACAATCTGAGAAGTGTCTATTCACCAGTATGGCAAGTGCCTGCAGCCACAACTGCGGTCTCAATGCAAGGACTGCATTGTCAATGGCTGTGAAGGTGACTATGGTTCTTTCTAAGCTGAAACTGGAGATATTTGCAACACCTCATAATTTACCATCCACTGCTGCAGAAGAGGGGTCACTGAGGTTCTATTCAATGAGAGGTAAGTACAGGATGCTGCATACGGAGTGAGCACATGGTTTCCCTAGGCATATTGGCATCCCCATGGTGCAGCATACTATAGACTGCACATCAATTCTACCAGAAATGAAAGCAATTCTACACATACACTGTCCAGCTGGAGAGTGACCAAAGACGGTGAAGTAAATATTGTCCTCAAAGCAATCATAATCCCCTAAATCTGTGGCACTCATTATACCAGCTGCATTTTAGCCAGGAATACACATCAAAAGATGGTTACTTATCAATGGGGATATTTGCTGACCACATGGCTAATGACTGTAGTGTGTAACCCACGCACAAACTGTCAATGTACTCAAAAATGAAAGCCAAGCCACAACACAAAACATGATAAAACAAACCACTGCCATGTTAAACCAATACCTCTACTGGCTGGATCACTCTGAAGGAGCCCTGCAGTACCCAGTAGAGTTGTAACAACATTTGTTGCCTGCTAAATATCTCGCCAACTTGAGGGAACAATCATTAACTCACAGCTATACAGTGGGCAGTTGGTGATCAGGACCATGATGAGGAGGAAAGGGAAACTAGACAATGTAAACAACCCCTTCTGCCCTGCCATCTGCAAATAACATATCGAAGTGTAATACCTGCAACTGCAAACCAAATTCCCTACTCTTCAACAATCCCAAACCTCGCCATCCCTTTTTAATGACCTGGCCACAAGACAAAAAATGTAAAAGTATTGCAAAATAAACATTTCAAACTAAATGTAGAAACGAAATCATACCATATTGCATATAAATATAAACCAATCACCCTGTGCATTACTTTCATACCTGTTTTCTGTGTTCTTTTGCCATCCCAGGATCCTACCTGGTTCTGTTCCAGTGGTTGCTGCATGGATAATGAAACGTGACTTTGTTTTGTTGAGGAAAGGATAGCTTTGCAGGATGACCTCAAACAGTTGTGGTCCCACAGCATAAATGGAATTTGTCTGGGAAAAAAGGACCATGGTGAAGTGATGGGTGTGAGAGAACAAATGCTGTTGTTTTCAGAAGAGAGGACTGCTGATTCTTCCTCCATTTGACCATCACCACTCTTCTGGGGTATATCTTCAGCAATCCTTTGTTTTTATTTTTTCATTTGTGAGACGTGGGCGTCGCTGGCTGGCCAGCATTTATTGCCTGTCGCTAATTCCCCCGAGAAGGTGATGGTGTGCTGCCTCCTTGACCTGTGGGTCACCGGCTGTGGGTTGACCCGCAATGCCGTTAGGGAGGGAACTCCAGGATTTTGACCCAGCAACAGTGAAGGAACAGCAATATATTTCCAAATCAGGATGGTGAGTGACTTGGAGGGGAACTTGAAGGTGGTGATGCTCCCATCTATCTGCCGCTCTTGGCTTTCTAAATGTAAATGGTTGTGGGTTCAAAAGGTGCTGCCTGAGATCTTTGGTGAATTTTGCAGTGTATCTTGTAGACAGTACATACTACCAAGAATGAGTATTGGTGGTGGAGGGAGTGGATGCTTGTAAAAGGTAGTAAAATCCTAGTAAAAGGAAAAGTAGCTGGACAATCACAAGCCAATTCATACAGTGAAATCCACACATACAATGACAGCTGTCTCAGCTTTCACTGGAGCACCCAGATCTTTTGCAGCTTGTTCATTTGCTTCAATGGAAACTGAGATATTGGTAATTAGGCACTGCCCAATGGTTGGGATCACAACTGTGAGCAGAGTAGGTCATCGTTTCCATGCGAGAAGGGATAGGCTCCAACTCTATAAAGAGCCTTGTGCCAAATTGTTGCTGGACTCCTCCATGTCCCTGACAGGTGCCAATCCCACCTACTAGCCTCTAAGTTATCTGAGCAGTTGGCTGCGAGTGTGAAATCAGAGCTTTTTATCAATACCGTCTTGTTGCTATTCCTCTGGTATCTGGCTAAGTATCCGAAAAGAGAAACAGTAAGGCAAAGACATTAGGAGGGAAGACAGTGCGAAGGTAAAATAAGCAATCCTACATCCTCAAGCTTATAAATCTTGAAGGTGTCATTTGAGGAAGAAGATTCATTATAAGAGTATTGTCACCTTTGGTGGTTTCAGCCCCACCATGAACCACGGGCTCAGCAAAGGATATCCCAACAATGGTCTGCACCATCTCCTCCTTTATGGGGTTAGGACATGCAGGGAAGTCAGTCACTTCCTGGATAGTTCTGCTGTCTCTAAATATGTGTCACTCTGTCCTACAAGACAGGGAATTGTGTCAAGTAAATGGTGTGTAATTTATTTGATTGATAGGCCTGACATGGTGAAAAAGCTGACAAAAAAATAGGAGCCACAATTAATAATACTACTAGTGTTAGCACTCCCTTTGTCTTTTACTCTGGGGCACACGTATCATCTGTTCCGTATACACCTCCTCCCCCCTTTTAATACAATGTAAAACCAAAAGAAATGTGGCCAAAAGAGAAGGGGGAGTGGCGTTTTTGATTAGGGATAACAATCTGGCTATACTTAGGGAGAATATTTCTGGGAATATGTCCAGGTAAGTTATTTGGGTGGAACTGAGATATAAGAAAGGGATGATCACCTTATTGGAATTGTGCCAAAGACCCCCCATTAGTCAGCAGAAAATTGAGAATCAAATTTGTAAGGAGATCTCAGCTATCTGTGAAAATAATAGGGTGGTAATGGTGGGGGAATTTAACTTTCCAAACAGTGACTGGGACTGCCATAGTGTTAAAGGGTTGGATGGAGAGGAATTTATTAAGTGTGTACATGAAAATTTTCTGATTCAGTACGTGGATGTACCTACTAAAGAAAAACTTGACCTGCTCTTGGGAAATAAGGCAGGTGTCAGTGGGAGAGCACTTTGGGGCCTGTGACCATAATTTTATTCGTTTTAAAATAGTAATGGAAAATGATAGACCAGATCTAAAAGTTAAAGTTCTAAATTGGAGGAAGACTAATTTTGATGGTATTGGGCAAGAACTTTCAAAAGTTGACTGGGGGCAGGTAAAGGGATGGCTGAAAAATGAGATAACGAGAGTCCAGAGACAATATGTTCCTGTTAGGGTGAAGAGCAAGGCTGGTAGGTGTAGGGAATGCTGGATGAGAAATTGAAGTTTTGGTCAAGAATAAGAAGAAAACATAAGTCAAGTATAGACAGCAGAGATCGAGTGAATCCCTAGAACAGTATAAAGGCAGTTGGAGTATACTTAAGAGGGAAATCAGGAGGGCACAAAGGGGACATGAGATAGCTTTGGCAAATAGCGCTAAAGACAATACAAAGGGATTCCATAAATTCATTAAGGACAAAAGAGTAACTAGGGAAAGAGTAGGGCCCCTTAAAGATCAGCAAGGCCGCCTATGTGTGGAACCACGGGAGATGGGGAGATACTAAACGAGTATTTTGCATCAGTGTTTACTGTGGAGAAGGATACAAAAGATAAAGAACTGGGAAAATAAATAGTGACATCTTGAAAAATGTCCATATTACAGAAGAGGAGGTACTCAATGTCTTAAAATGCATAAAGGTAGATAAATCCCCAGGACCTGATCAGGTGTGCCCCAGAAATCTGTGGGAAGCTAGGCAAGTGATTGCTGGGATATATGTATCATTGATAGCCACAGGTGAAGTGCTGGAATATTGAAGGTTGGCTAACGTGGTGCCACTATTTTAGAAAGGTGGTAAGGAAAAGTCAGCGACCTATAGACCGGTAAGCCTGACATCAGTGGTGGGCAAGTTGTTGGAGGGAATCCTGAGATTCAGGATTTACACATATTTGGAAAA